TACCTTATTGCATTTTTGTGTTCTAGTTTAATTAATTTGTTTGTTCAAAATCTTTTAGTGTTTCTTATGTAACAAAATAAATTTAACTGGTTGGATTTGTAAGGCATCTGTTTAAGGTAAAAGAATATTACCTTATTGCATTTTCTTTTCCAGTTATCTTTATTTTGTTCATTAGTATTTCGGACAAGACACTTTCAAACAAGTCTTTTACAAAAGATGAATCTACTAGAGAGTAAAATACAAACATTTGAATGCTACAAAAGATGGGGATGGCATCATCAAAATCGTTATATCAAAATCTAGGGTCTAACAAGGAGCAGCCTGAAAGGTGATGTAAATCCTGCTGGATTCGTCCTTTGGAGCCAGTACTGACGAGGCTGGCTGTGATCAGATCCGGATGTAACTAATTAGGGGCTTTGGAGGGTAGTTCATAGACTCCAGGATTATGGGAGCGTAAGCCCCGACACCTGGATTATCAAAAAAAGTAAAAAGCTGTAAATTAAAAATATGCAACTCTTTTATTGGGATATGCAAATCTTTTATTCGGATAAAACTTTCAACATAACATTTACAAATTCAAAGAGGCATACCCCACTCAAAACTCTCCGCTACATCCGTATTCTCACAGTAAAAGAGACACCGTATGCATCTCTATTACTCTACACCAACAAAAAAAACACCATACTCCATCTTGCTCATCTCCAATGCCAAAACTTCAAAAATAATTGTCGTATATATAGTCATAAATTTTATTAATGTTGATGTGGTATTAGCATTTTTATTAAAAGTAATATTGCCATTTTTAACAATAGTAATACTGCCATCTTTAATAAGAGTAACATTGCCATTTTGATGAGAGCATATTCATTCATGATCTTAACATAAATGGTTTTTTTATTACTCATCATTGTCACATAATGTTTATTCAATAAATTATAAATAATCTTAAATTTTAAAACTTTTCATCAATCATGATACTCAAATAATCAGTTTATCTAGACCATGCATTAAATGCAATTTAACTACAATCTAAAGTAATCCGGGTTCCAAATCTTGATACCGGGTTTTCTTTTCCAATAATCTTCCTAAATAATCTCTCACTCACAAATGATAATCTTTCAAATAATCTTCCGCGTCATCCAATTAAACCTTAAATAATCTAATGAGTGGGGATACCCTAAATGACCGTACTGTCATACAAATGGCATTATTTGTAAAATTATCAATAGGTATACATATATTATCAATAGTAAAATTGTTATACAAATGGCATTATTGGTAAAACTCGTATATCTTTAACCAAAGTAATATTATCATCTTTAACAACACAAATGTCATTATTGGTAATATTGCCATTTTTATAAATGACTTTAGTGCCATAAAAATGGCATTATTCATAAAAGAACCTTAAAAAACATGGCACTTACTACCTTCTTGGTAAAATGACATTATTTATAAATAAAGATTAAAATCAAAATTGAAAATGACATTATTCATAATTAGTGCCATAAAATGGCACTATAATAGGGCAAAACCACTTACACAATACCTATAAAAATTTCAGATTCCTAATTAAAGAAAACTATGACATTCCTTGAATTATGATTAAAATTGGAAACAAAAAAACTGCAAACATTGTAAACTTCATGGAAATCAATAAAAAATTAATTTTAAAATCAAAATGAAGCAAAACAGAGGAAGTCGAGAGAAAGAGGAGGAGATTGCTCATCTAAGTTAATCCCACTGCCCGTCGTCTGCCGACCACCGTTCGCTGACGCGCGGCTGGAAATGACGAGAAACATTACCATCTCTGCTCCTATAGTCCGACGGTGATGGTAGTAATTAAGCATAACAGAAAAAATCGAAATAAGGTAACCATGGAGTCTAGAATGGAGGAGGAGAAGATGGAAGTCTCATGGAGAAGAGAATTGAGAGAGAAGAGGAAAGATGAGAGAGAGGAGAAAAGAAGCCAACATGTGTGGCCCGTAGTGAGGAGAAAAAAGAAGAAGGGTGAACTCGAATTGAAGGTCGTATTTTGGGAATAAAAAATATATGCTCCTATTTTGGGAACTACTTCAATGTTTTACTCCTATTCATTGCAATTAAAGTATGAAAAAATGGTTCCTACATGGTACGTAGTATTATCACCGTGTTCTTCCTAAAATGTGACTCATTTACTATGAATTTGGGAAGTTATGTGCTTTTAACAAAATCTAACAAGTCATTGTCATTTTCAAGTAACAAGATCTAATGTTTAAAATTCATAAATAAGACTTTTTATTTTTCATTGAATAAAAAACCCTTATAGAGAGTTGCATCAGTGACTGTGGACATCTAAAAATTATTGGGCCAGGTTTGATAGTCATTGGGCCTATTCAAATGTTATCGGACTATTATCTGTTTTATTGGGCCTCATTTGAATTCTACTGGGCTGCTCATGAATGATGTTTGCCTTATCAAAAGGAAAATATTAATATGGACCCGTTCAGATAAAATGCAATGATAAAATTAATTTGGGTCATTTAAATATCCATTTAATTTAATTATAAAGTAAGTCTTTAAAAGAATGGGCCGGTCCTATTAATTTATTTATTTTGAGCCCAATATTAAACAATGGCCCAATAAATAAGATACATGATCCAATATATGAAGAGGAGGACAAATCTAGTTAAAAAATCAGTCCATATGCATGAAAAATGGCTACGAACCTTGTTAAAAAGGCTTTCCAGATACATCGGACAAGAGTTGATTTTTCTAGCTATTAAAATGCAAGAAATAGAGCCCAAAGCCCGTTTTCATTGAGGCCCAAGAGGTATGGACGAATTTCCAAAACCCTAAAACATATTTTCACCCCTCCACACCTATAAATAGGGGTCTGAGTTGAGAGGAATGAAGAAGAAAATTTCCAATCAAAGAAACGCTGCAGAAAAGCTCTCAAGAACTCCCGAAAGGCTCTGAACGATTCCGAAAAAGAGCAATATACCAAGCCACAGATTTTATTAAAAATATACGAATAATCCTTCGTGATTTCGTCGAATCTTGATAAAATAAAACCGAAAGTTGAAGAACGTTCGAAGATATGAAGAACGAAGCTTGAAGATTCGAAGATCTGAAGAACAAGACTTTGAAGATTCGAATATATGAAGAACGAATCTTTGAAGATTTGAAGATATTCATATGAAGATTGAATTGAAGTTCAATTGAAGATCAAGCCATATATCCCGGGAGGCCCTTAAACAGAAGATCAAGGCATAAAATGACCTTTTTGTTGAAGATCAAGCCACTTGAAAACCGGAGGCCCTTCAAGCTGAATTCTTAGTTCAAGAATATTTGAAGATCCGAAGAACGAAGGTTTCGAAGATTTGAAGATCTGACGAACGTTTGAATATTTGAAGAATTAAAGATTAAATTTGAAATTAAATTCTTTAATTATATTCATGTCAAATTTCCAAGTGAAGAATCCGAAGATTCATATTTAGAGATTGTACCCAATATTCTTACATATTATTATTTGCGATCAATTTTAAGTAAATAATTAAAATTTGTTTCACAAATTTTTGGCAAGCCCGGTTGGACAACTCTACCTCTCATCTCTTTACTTTTGATAAAGAAAAACGAACCAATGGCATAAAGCAAGCCCGTGTTCACTTTGAGTTCTAGAGCGTCATCAAGCTCGAGTCAAAACATGCAAGACCCTATCACTAGGAGTCGATCAAGAATCCTGACAACGCAGTCATCTTCGGGAACTACTTCTGGTGCGATGAATGGATATCAAATTGCGCAAGAGATGGTCCGGAAGCTTTCTTCACCCATACGTGTAGTTACTTCCCCGAAGTGGACAAACAGTGGTGAGGGCTCATCATCTGGGTCAGACCTTACTCCCCCGTCAAGTTCTCCACGAAGGACTACTCCACAGTGGTCGAATGTCTACACCATTACGATGAGCACCACATCTATGGGAGAACAAATTGCCCATTTAACTAAGGTCATCGAGGGGATGAGTATGTTCATGCAAGCTCAAGATCAAAAGTTGAATGATCTGAACAACAAAGTAGAAAGCTTGAAAGGCGAGTCAAGTCATACTCATGAGAAGGATCCCGAAGTGCATGATGATAATGATTCTCATCAAGAGGATTCAGGAAAGAACATATCAACCTCTGGGGGCATGATCCCAATTGATCAACTCAAAGACTTCATCAAGAGAACCATAAAGGGGAAGATAGAATGAAGTCAATCTACTTACTCCTATGTTAAGTCATACACTCAAAGAAGTTCATCCAATTTGACGGAAAGGGAAACCCGCGACAACATGTTGCTCATTTCGTGGAGACTTGCAATAACGCGGGACCAAACAGAGATCATCTTGTCAAGCAGTTCGTGCGTTCGCTAAAAGCAAATGCCTTTGACTGGTATACTGACTTTGTAACACCCCGGCCCCGTAGGCCCCGAGGAGTTACTTTTGACCTCTAGTACTGTCCTCACAAACCGCCACTAGCCTTTTCCGCGCACTTTGTCCTCACTCGTGCGCGCCCTGAGAAACTTCCCAGGGGGTCACCCATCCCAAGACTACTCCCGTGCAAGCACGCTTAACTTTGGAGTTCTTGGCTAATGAGCTCCCTTAAAAGGAGATGCATCTTGTTGGTATGAGTAGTACTATCAATCCTCTTAAATTAATCTTGGGTATTACAGACTTGGAGTCTGGTTCCATTGATAGCTGGCAAGACATGGAACGTGAGTTCTTAAACCGTTTCTATAGCACAAAAAGGGTGGTCAGTTTACTCGAACTAATGATTACTCGCCAATGGAAAGATGAACCCGTGATAGCTTACATAGAGCGTTGGAGGGATCTTGCTCTTTTTTTTGGACGAAAGGTAATTATATTATTCGCACACAAAAATAACAAGTACATGTATCAAAAAACTAAAGAGCTAGGTAATCTAACTAAATAGTGTCACTAACATTCACCCCCCCCCCCCCCCCCCCCCCCCGCCCCTCAAAGAGGCAGGGAGAGAGAATTTTGTGATGAACAGTCAGTCAACCAAAATGGCACGGGACAGGCCCCGGCTCGTATCAAACATTCAAGTAACCAAGATGAACTGGCCCGTGAAGGACCAGCCCATTAACGAGTCAAAAGCCTCTCGTAAGGCACCAACCGCCGAGCCAGCAAAGGCCCATTGGCCAGTAACTGATCCAGATGGTAAATGGCCCTCCATATCCAATCATACGCAGCCCAGTACTCACTCAATCGCAGGCCCAGTGTTAGAACCAACGAAGGCTCGTCTACTAGCCAGCTGAAAAAACCAGCAGATAAGCCCAAATTACAGCCCATTCCGCATGAGACCCGTTCCAGCAACAGCCCAGCCCAAAACTATTCTGCTGACCGCGCTACGCTTGGAGCAAGGGAACCCTAGCCCAGCCGCCGCCTCGGTCAACATTCCAGCCTGGTGGGTCCACATGAGGGGTAGCGAAAGGATAGGCTGTCACTTAAGCCATCTCACGCGCCCACCAGTTCCGGTCACCACCAGCGAGCACGCCGAGCACCGGCCAAACCTGTGACCATCAATTCGTCCCCACAGATGTTGTCACCATTCACACCAGAATGTACCACCGACCCAGAGAATTGCGAGAACTCCGGTCATCTTCTTCGGGGAAAACAATCAAGAACATACAGAAATCACGCCCGACTGGAAAAGAAAGATGCTCAGAGAATATGAAGCAAAAGTCCATCTAGTTTCAGAAAACATTCATAATCAAGAAGGTTGACTAACAAGAATCGATGAACACTGGTTGTTGCAAACTCCCAATCCAGACCTTGGCCCAGTCGTAGATTCGTAACGAAGCAAAACGGAGATGGAAGCTGCGTGAGGTTCTGCTCGGGGAATGGCCATCCAGTGTTGCCACAAAAAACGTTACCATCTGTGAAGAGGATGCCCCTGTTCGTTCTCAGGTGCAGCTAGAAGAAACGAACAGGCCTTGAATCAATCCGGGGCTCCGATTCATCTTGACAAGCTGCCCCCACTTGTTCTCAGAATACCAGAAGCCCCACCCATACCGGCGTCCCGTCGTCCGACGAAGAAGCTGCTGACACCGGAAAGTTTTCACCTCGGTTGTGACAAAACAAGGAAAGAATGAGGTGGTCACAGTGTTCATCCTTCAACGCACAAACCAACAGTAACCAAACCGCCGAACCCGACCTAACTAATTCAAAAACCAAAACCAGATCTGTTTCACTCCAAAATGTCGGCCCTGTACCTCTGTCATCTCCGGCCGAGGCTAGCCACCAAGGCCACACAAACGACCAAAGCAAGGAACTCATGGCCACAAACACCCCAAGAACAAGGTAACCCACCCCTGTACCTTAAACGCCAGATTTCTGAGCACATCGCCGGAAAATCCACCTTCAGTCGCCTAGAAGAACCCTGGACACTCTGTTCGCCATCGTACAAGCCTCTCCCCCCAAGGCCTTCCCCATAGCTACTAACCAGCGCCGAAGGTTGTCCAAAGCTAAATCCAGCGAGCTTCCAACAGTGAACCAGATAGACACAAAGACCACTAGCGGAGGAGAACCCCATCTCAAATTTTCCAAAAACTGGCTGAAGCCAAGTAACCAAAGCAAAGCCTCACCGAAGCCATAGGAGCTTCGGCGTCCACTGTGAAGTAGTGGCGGACCGCCCAGAACAGAGGTAGTATAGCAACTAGAAAATCTAGTGAGAGACACTCTCAACTCTCACTACTCTCAGTCTTAGCAACTTTGGAGGGATCTTGCTCTTAACTGCAAAGATCAAATTTCTACCAGCTCCGCTATTGACATGTGCATTGAAGGAATGCATTGGGAACAATGTTACATTCTCAAATGAGTTAATCCAGACACTTTCAATGCTAGCAAGCAAAGCTCGTAACATGGAGTTGAGCATTGCAAGTAGTGGAAGGAAAACCATGGGTATGTATCCCATAAACAATGCTGTTGAAAAACAAGATACCAAGAATGGGGGCAAGCCCTTTTCAATGTTCGAAAAGAAGGAAGCAATGGTCGTGAAGGCTGCACTTGTTAAGATTTACACTCGAAAATCAAAGCAAGTTTCTAGAGTTAACTCGGAAGTCTCAAAACATGTTAAACCATTTTTAGAAGAGATGCTGGAAAAGAAGTACCCTTTCTTAGACTGTGACGTTCCTCCCATGTTTGAGGAACTAATAAGATTGAAGCTTATTGATTTGCCCGAGTCCAAACAACCTGAGGAAGCTACAAAGATTGATGATCCCAATTACTGCAAGTATCATCGAATTCTAAGCCACCCCTCCGAGAAGTGATGTGTGCTTAAAGATAAAATTATGGCCCTGACTCGTGAAGGAAAGATTGAGCTTGCCAATTCTGCTGCAAGCACAAACCAAATTGCCATCACTTTTGGTAAGTTTTCTCCACTCATGGTTAAAGATGACTCGAGAAAAGAGAGTAAGAACTTTCATAATCAAAGACTTCCTTTTACTATCAAAGTGATGGGAAACGACTCTCGTTTGAGTAAAAGCGTGAGAGATGAAGAAGATAATGGCAAAAAAGGTCCATCGATCTTAGTAATTCATGATAAACAAAATAAGAGGCACAAATTGATCTTGTACCCGGTGAACGAAGTAAAGAAATGGGTCAAGAAAAGGGAAGAAAATAAACTCAAGCTCAAGAAGGAAAGAAAGACTAGTGTTTGTTCCAAGGTTGTGAGAAGGCCAATTACTCTAGACGATTATATGCCAAAGGATTTCAAGAACAAGATGAATCAAATTTCAAGTTCTTGTCTTAGCGCCCATGAGAGAGATGTTGAGAGTTCAAGCCTATGCTCATCACCAGCTTTGGGTGAGCAAAAGGAAGTGGAAACACACAAATCTACCTCTTATGTCACTGACATTCTCTTTAAAGATGAAGACCTTATGTTAGGCGCCACCCCTCATAATCACCCGTTCTTTGTTGAGGGATATACTCGTGGCCAAAGGTTTAAAAGAATCATGATTGACCAAGGGTCCGCTGTTAATATCTTGACAGTTCGGGCTATGATAGACCTCGGAATATCAAGTGATGATCTCTCCCAAAGTCACTTGATGATTCAAGGTTTCAATCAAGAAGGGCAAAGGGCAATTGGAATGATACAACTTGACTTGAACATTGGTGGATTGCAAGCAAGTACCTTGTGCCATGTTATTGATGCAAAAACTTCATATAATCTCCTTTTAGGTCGCCCGTGGATCCTTGAAAATGGTGTAATTCCTTTAACATTGCATCAATGCTTTATGTATGAAGAAAATGGCGTTGTGAAGAAAGTAATCACTGATGAGACTCCATTTACTGAGATTGAGTCCTACTTTGCAGACGCAAAGTTTTATTTGAAGACTAAATCTTCTAAAGATAATATTCCTAAAGGAAATCATGTTTATCGCCCGTTGATGCAGCCAAAGTTGAAACTAAAGCTTGTTGAAGGTGTAGAGGGGCTCACATTTCCTCTTGCACAGATTGAGATATCGAAATCTCCTCAAAAGGACCCTAAAAAGGAAGTTGGAAAGAAATGTGATGTTAGGCTCCCTAACACACGTACGAAGTGGAAAGATTTGACTCGAATGCATACAAGCTCCTTGTTAAAGCTGGTTATCATCCTAACGAACAGAAGTTGGGGAAACTCATTCCAGAAGCTAGTGGAGAAGGAACATCGAAACAGATCAATCTTCAAGGACACAGAGGATTAGGTTATGTTCAACCGAAACCAATCAGGATCCTCATAAATAGAGCCGCAATGCATCATATTAGTGCTGATGAAGAAAATAAAGTGACTTTTAAGTCGAAGTACTCCGTCTTTGATCGAATTGGGGAAGCAAAATCAAGACCTGCCATCTTTTATGGATTGGGTCCGAAGCCAAAGACGGTTATGAAGAAGATTTTACAATAATGTCTTGAAACAAGCCCGATGATGTTGAAACACATTGAAGACCCATGCATGGGACAAAATTTCTGAAGAAAGTATGTTCATAAAAGATTGGGAATGAAACATGTACACAATAAATCTGCTAAAGTTCTTTCCAACAAGCAAAGTCTTAAAGAGCACATAAGTTCGATCCCATCTCGTATCAAACGAGAAACCGATGTGAAAGTAACCTATGGAAATGCACTTAAAATCAAACCAGTGACCATTGTGCACACTCATGGTCAATATGAAGACCGATATGAGAACTCATACTTTATCAACTTTGATGATCTAGTACCCTTGATGTCGGGATATAGATATGCCAAATGAAATATTGAAAACTTTAAACCAACAATGATGTTGTAAGTGGCTAATGCTTTAGATCAGTGCCACTAGCCCAACAAAGGGCCCAAGTTATATTTCTTTTCCAAACTTTTTTGAAAAAGTCAGCAGCAAGGTCATTGTCTCAACAGGTTATATATTTCCACCCAGGTTCAAATCCTGGTTTGCAAAATAAGTTTGAAAAAAACTCAAGAAAAGTCAGCAGCAGGGTCATTGTCTCAGCCTCTGACCATCTACCTCTGGCGGCAATAGTAGCTCCTCTCGTCCTCGCTCTGGTGAAAACGGCGTTCCGATCTTCAAACATCAACAAAAGTGGTCCCCGTCATCTTCTCCGACATCAATTCGAATTCTGGCCGGCAACTTCTCAATCTCAGCAACACTCCTTCTCTGACGAACGTCCATGTGGCAGGAGAAATTGGCAGGACCAACCGCATCTCATCGTCAAAAAACTCAGAAGCCCAACCAGAGAACGAACAGCCCGGAGAGCAGCACCAGCAACCAGTCAAGCATCATCTATTTCTCTGCGACATCGATCAGAACTAAATCAGATCAATACAACTTCTGATGGATCATGCTGCATACCTCTTCTCACAAGAATCATCTCTCGATCGCCCCTCATCTTCTCCAGTGCCGCTGCGGTTTCTGACGGCACCAACCTCCGTCGATAACAGCAACCTGCCAAGCTTATTTCTGCCTCTGGATTCTGAGCGCCAGTTGATTAAAGATGATGTTGACCAAGCATAATAACTTCTGAAGCTTGAGATATCCCTGCAATTTGATAAAAAGGGGAGCTTAATAAATAGTGGAAATATTATACTCCCTCCGTTTCATAATCTTTGAAACACTTTCCTTTTTTGGTTGTTTCACAATCAATGACATACTTCCTTATTTCTTTATTTGTTAAACAAATCTTTACCAAAACAGTGCCAAACAGTGTTCAAACAGTGCCAAACAGTGTTCAAACAATGCCAAACAGTGTTCAAACAGTGTCAAACAGTGTACTCTACAGTAAAATTTACCCCTCAGTAACATTTTTTCCTTAATTCTTGACAAGTGAAACTGTGTCAAAGATTATGAAACGGAGGGAGTACCTCTTTTGTTTGGCGATCTCTTTCCAGCGCAATTTTATATGTCAATCTCCGGCCAAGAAAGTAGTCAGGACTGGTATTTATAGAGCAAGAAGTTTAATCTCACTTGGAAAATAAAGGTGCTGAAGACGTAGAAATCCAATTAGGACTCTAAAGTTGATAACAAATGGATTCTGAACTCAATAGGACGAATATGTTGTTTCCTATTGAGATGCAAATGCATGAATGATCAGGCCTTTTAATTCGGATTTCGGATCTCCCTCTGAATTATTGCATGGTCTATTAAAGAATGTGAATCCTTCTTGAACAAGGGAAGCCTGTGAACATTTGATCCATAATATTGTTGCTGTCAGCTTACAATAAGTCCAACTACCCGGTTGGATTACGTGATTGTCATTCAGACATATGGGCCTCTAAAGGAGAGAAAGTATTAAATTGATAATTGATTTTAAATTCAATTATTTCAAGACTTACTTTTACCTCTTCAAATATTCAATCAAATCTTGATGGGGCATTTGTGGACATCTAAAAATTATTGGGTTAGGTTTGATAGTCATTGAGCCTATTCAAATGTTATCGGACTATTATCTATTTTATTGGGCCTCATTTGAATGCTACTGGATCAACGTTGAATTCTACTGGGTTGCTCATGAATGCTATTTGCCTTATAAAAAAGAAAATATTAATATGGACCCGTTCAGATAAAATGCAATGATTAAATTAATTTGGAGCATTTAAATATCCAATTAATTTAATTATAAAGTACTCCCTCCGTCCCATTAGAAGGTTCCCACTTTCCTTTTTTGGACGTCCCATATAAAGGTTCCCATTTCCATTTTAGGAAACAATTAACAATCTTAAGTGACAAATTAATCATTAAATATTAAAAATAATACATTTATAATATCACAGTTATCAATCCTAACTACATTATAATATATACCTATTAAAATTATTTATTAAAATATACTCGAAGTACTTTATTTAATTATTGTATAAATAACTGTGTCGCTTTGCTATGGGAACCTTCCAATGGGACGGAGGTAGTAAGTCTTTAAAAGAATTGTCTGGTCCTATTAATTTATTTATTTTGAACCCAATATTAAAGAATGGCCCGATAAATAAGAGATATGATCGAATATATGAAGAGAAGGACGAATCTAGTTAAGAAATCAGTCCATATGCATGGAAAATGACTACAAACCTTGTTAAAAAGGCTGTCCAGATACATCGGACAAGTGTTGATTTTTTTAGCTATTAAAATGCAAGAAATAGAGCCGGATTTACAAAACCCTAAAACATAGTTTCACCCCCTCCACACCTATAAATAGGGGTCTCAGTTGACAGGAATGAAAAAGAGAACTTCGAGTCGAAGAAACGCTGCAGAAAAGCTCTCAAAAACTCCCGAAAGGTTCTGAACGATTCCGAAAAAGAGGAATAGACCAAGCCACATATTTTATTAAGAATGTA